ACAGGAAGGTCATGGCTCGATTCCCCGTCAGAGCACAAGGCCGGGGTTGTAAGCTTGATCCCCAGTAGGGGAGTGTGCCAGAGGCAGCCAACCAATGATGTTTCTCTCTCCCTCTCCCTTCCTCTCTCTGAAATCAATAAAAACAATTTTTAAAAAAATGATCCAACTTAAAATAATTTGCATTGCCCACTGTAGGAGAGCAGGCATTTCATATTTAAGTTACATGGAGCTCAGTGACAGAAATGTGCCTCCATGATGACACTAGCTGAACACACACTGAAAATCTTTATTTAAAGAGAAATTACGCTCTCGGAGAGAATTTATATAGCATTCTGCCATCACATGATTAAAAAAAAAAAAAAAAAAAAAACTATGTGAGGAGAAACCAAGATGGTGGCATAGGTAAACGCCTAACTGCAGCCTCGCACAACAATTTCAAAAAATACAACTAAAATACTAAATGGACATTATCCACAACTACAGGAAAGTTGACTGATTGGAAATTCTACAACTATATAATAGAAGGAAAGAGAAAACCAGAAGGAAAATCAGAGGAGCTGTAAAAGCCTAAGGTACGGAGACATGGTGCGCGCGCAGGGAGAAGAAGGAGTCAAAGAAGAGGGGGAGGCTAAGTGCCTGGCTGGCGTTCCCTAGCAGGAAGAAGATAAAAGTTCCAGACTGTGCTGAGCCCCAGTTCCTGGTCAGACCCTGGGGGCCCAGGCTCATAAGGAGGGAATCTGGGCTGTAAGGCGGAAATTCAGGGGAGTGGCGAAAGGCAGAGTCCTGGAGGCATGCACATTGCGCAAAGAGGACGGACTGTTGACTGTGCCGCTGGATTGCCCTAGCGGGAAGGAGACAAAAGCTCCAGACTACACTGAACCCCACTTCCCAATGCACTAAACCCCAGTTCCGGGCTCATTGGGGGAGAGACTTGACTGTTTGATAGTGGGCAAAACTCGAGGGCACCTTTCTTTCAGAGGTGCTTACAGTGAATTCCAAAGCAGGGAGTACCAAAGGCACTGAGGAACACTGAGACTCAGGAACCACACAGGGCAGGGCTGACAGAAAGCCAAGGCTGTAGGCTTCACTCTGAAACTACACCCTATTCAAGCTGAGCACAGAGGCTTTTGCAATTTTCCAAGTCTAGTCGAATAAGGCTATCTTCTGGCATAGACACAGCTGATCATTACAGCCAATTGGCCTGGAGGTCAATTCCTCCCAGTGATAACAACAACAATCAAGACTTAACTACAATAAGGCTGTACACACAGTCCACAAAGGGTTGTACCAAGAGTGTCCACCTCAGGTCACTGAGAGGCTGACCCACTGAACCATATAGGACAACTTAGCACACAAAGCCACCCTACCAATTCAGGGAAGCTGCGAAAATGCCAAGACAAGGAAATAGATGACAAACGAAAGAAATAGAGGACAAAAGTGACTGGATATAGAGTTCAAAACCACGGTTATAAGGTTTTTCAAGAATTTCCTAGAAAAGGCCGATAAAATAAACAAGACCTATGAGGATATGAAAAGGGATCAACTAGAAATAAAGAATACAATGTCTGAAATAAAAAAATATTATACCGAGTCCTAAAAACAGAGGTCGCAAGAATCAAGTCAAAGAATTGGAACATAAAGAGCCAGAAGACACTCCTCCGCAGAAGCAAGAAGACAAGAGAATCCAGAAAGTTGAAGATAATGTAAGAAACCTCTGGGACAACTTCAAGCGAACCAACATCAGAATTATGGGACTTCCTAGAAGAAGAGAGAGCAAGATACCAAAAACATATTGAAAAAAAAAAAAAAAAACTTCCCCAACCTGGTAAAAGAATTAGACTTACAAGTTCAGGAAGCGCACAGAACCCCAAACAAAAGAAATCCAAAGAGGACCACACCAAGACACATCATAATTAAAATTCCAAAAGCAAAAGACAAAGAGAGAATATTAAAAGCAGCAAGAAAAAAGCAGGTAGTTACTTATAAAGGCACACCCATACGATTATCAGCTGATTTCTCAACAGAAACCATGCAGGCCAGATGGGAATGGCAAGAAAAATTCAAGGTGATGAATAGCAAGAACCTACAGCCAAAAATCCTCTACCCAGCAAAACTATCACTCAGAATCGAAGGCCAGTTAAAGAGCTTCACAAATAAAAAAAAGCTAAAGGAGTTCATCACCGCCAAACCACAATTATATGAATTGCTGAAGGGAGTTCTTTAGGAAGAGGAAGAAAATAAAGATAAAAATTATGAACAACAAATACATAACTATCAACAAGTGAATCTAAAAACCAAGGGAATTAAAAAAATCTGATGAACAATATTAACTGGTGAATATAATATAATCAGAGTTATGGAAGGGGAGTGAACTGATGATTCTTGGGGAAAAGGGGAGTGGGGGATGTGAGAAGAGACTGAACATAAACTGTGCACCTATGGATGAGGACAATGGGGGGGGGGCAGAGGGTGGGGTGGGAACCTGGTGGAGAGGAGCAATGGAGGGGGGGGGGAAATGAGGATCATTTGTAATAATATGAACAATAAAGGTTTATTTAAAAAATAATAAATAAATAAAGAGAAATTATATGTGACTTCCCCCTAAAGTAAAAGGCTTTAATATTCACCAATGCTAGAAAAACAAACACAAACTATTAAAAAGAACGAAAAAAACTTTGGCAGAAACCGGGTTGGCTCAGTGGGTAGAGTCGGCCTGCGGACTGAAGGGTCCCAGGTTCGATTCCGGTCAAGGGCATGTACATTGGTTGCAGGCACATCCCCAGTAGGGGGTGTGCAAGAGGCAGCTGGTCGATGTTTCTCTCTCATCGATGTTTCTAACTCTCTGTCCCTCTCTCTTCCTCTCTGTAAAAAATCAATAAAATATATTTTAAAAAAAACAAAACTTTGCATGAGCTTATGAAACATATACTTCTATATCTTTAGTATCCCTCTTTCTCACCCCCCAAAAACACAAGGTCAATGAGAAATAAAAAGCAAACAACAACAGTGTTAACTGACTTAGAGAAATTGGAAAAAGCTGAAATTGAAGCCTACTGGAAGGGAAGGCAACAAAATACACACCTACAAAAAGTTATCGCAAACCTGAAACAAGAATCATATGGTATTTATTTGCAAAAGTGGAGAAGAGAACAGTTAAAACACAAGACCTCCTGAAGCCAAAATTAAAATTCAAAAGGAGAAAAATGGAGAATATTCACCACCCAAAAAAGAACAACAAAAAAGCTGATTCTTAAAAATTGAAGGGGAAAAATTAATACATCAATTCAAGAGGCCCAACATCCAACAAAGAGCTTCAGTCAGGCAGGGAAAAAATTCAAGGGGAAGCGTTATAAAAGAAATTTTAAACATCTTTCCAGAATCCAAAAATCCAAGTGTGGAGTCTAAGGATCCATGGACTGCTCAGTCTATCCAAAAAGAAAAAAATAACCATCAGGCACATTTTTGAGTTAAGGAGATAATACAAAGGTACTCTAAAGCATCCAGAAAGAGAAAAATATTACATACAAATGACTGGGATGTGTAATGCTGCTAAGATACAGCACTAGAAGCTGGCAGAGCAACGCCTTAAAAATCCCCAGAGAAATGGGCTTTCAACATGGCACACATTTAGTCAATCACTTCAGTGTGCTTCCACATCTCTCTGCATCCCAGCAGGGGCACGGCTGGCTCTAGACAATGGATTGTGGAGCAAATGTGACATGTGTCACTTCTGCGCCAAGTATTTCAGTGCCAGTCTGTTTGCTCTCCCTCTATCTGCTGTGGTAGCCCGAGCCATGGGTGATGGGAGGGGAACGCAGGTGACAGTAGGCTGGAACTCAAGGATGAAGCTAGAGTTAGGCCAGGCCCACAGCACAACACCAGGCCCATGTGGTACAAGCGAGAAACACACCTTTATTTGTTGCTGAGATTTCAGAGTTAGGCTGCTACCTACTCAAACGGTAACATAGAAAACTATACCCAACTGGACTATACATCAAATAGTTAGAACATGGACATTTTCTGACATGCCAGGTGTCAAACACACACACACGACCCCCTGCCCCATCACCTGTCTAGGAAGTCACTAGGAGGATGAGCTCCATCAAATCAGGGCAGTAAACATATAGCTCCGGTTTGATTCAGCCTGTTTGAGATAATGTTCCTGTCCTCTCTAGGTCTTCCCAATCAAACGCAGGTCACCCTGCAAAGGGCCAGATCAACTGTGACATCGTCCGTGAAGGGTTTCCTCCACAAACCCAAATTCCCTTGCTCCCAGGAGGAAATAAAACATCTTGCATCAATGGCCAGAAGAGGTGTCTACACCAGACTCCACTATGAAATCTGTAACGTGGTATGTGACTTTGGGAAGACTATGTAATCACTTACAGTCTCAATTTCCTCATCATCTAAGTAAGAAAGAAGCTAGTTTATAATAAACAAGTTCCTACTAATTTTACAATAAAATAATTTTGCAAGTGTGCCAAACCACTAAAATCCTAATGCAATTCTACATTTGATACATGCCTACATAAAAAAGCAATGCCAATAGACAAAAGTAGCTATTGCCAAAAAAATATTTACTTAAAAACTGAAATTAAGCTTGAATAACAAACACCTTCATTATTATAAACATCAAAGCAAAATTCATAAAAGGAAAATCATACAAAGTATGATTTAAAAGTGTGTTACTGTACTGCTCCTTCAACCATTCAGCGTGCTTCTGGAGTAGCCAGAGCAACAGCTACCACTACAAGTTCAACATAAGCAGCGACCTAAGAGGCTGTCTAGAACACTTGGTGAACACACCTTGTCTACATAGTTCTAAAGAATAACATTAAACTCTTAACATTTTTTATAAAAATTTTATCTAATACGAACTATATATCCCTCTGCCTTCAGAATAAAAGCTTTGAGTACAAATGTGTACACTGAATATACAATAATCTCAGACTGCTACCAAATTGATAGAGATAGATGCCTCTTCAGATAACCAAATTTACCTGTTGGCAAATTTCAGGATGGCACAGTGACACCTTCAGGGTTCAGTGATGTTCAGATTACTGCTTGTCATCTAGGTCTTCAGAGACCAGATCTTGTCTTCTTTCTTCTCCTCTTTCTTTCTTTATTCAATGGTCTGCTCCCAGGGACAAGGGGATAGCCACTGCTCCCCGAACATAGTCGCCGAGTGGATGCCCTTTTAATAATTTCAAGAAACAACTTTAGTATGTCAGCTGTTAAGAGTGATAAAGCAATACTAAAACAGCATGAATCGAGCAGGGGGCCTTGCAGAGGGCCATGGATAGTACCTTTTTTGTTCTCGATCCTCCACCACTGACCGCCATGACCCAGGGCCAAGGAACCCAGTGGTGGCTGACACTGTAAGCATTTGCCACCCTCACTTTTCTAATAGCTGGCACCATGAGTACTTATGTGGACTCCCACTCTCTCCTCTCCTATCGACATTTTTCTTGTCCCTTTGGACTCTCACCCTTTCCCACACACGGCTTCCTTAACAAGAAAAACCAGGTCTTACTTAGACGTTGCCAATAAACCAGAATACTCCTTTTTACCGATCACAGTGTATTTTAATCTAATTATTATTAGTAGTACTTGTTATAGGCCAGGCACTGAACTCACACATCTCCATGAATTGTCTCTTTAAAGTTCACACCAATGCTGAGAAAGGCAGTTGTACAGATAAAGCAAATAAGATTTCCTGTTTATTTTTAAAAACCCACCCTTATAAAGAACTTATAAAACTCAACACCAAAAAAATAAACAATCCCGTTTTAAAAATGGGCAAAGAACCTCAATAGACACTTCTCCAAAGAGGACATACAGATGACTAATAGACATATGAAAAGAGGCTCACCGTCACTAATCATCACAGCAATTCAAATTAAAACTACAATGACACCTGCCAAAATGTCTACCATCAATAGAGCAACAAACAAGTGTTGGCGAAGATGTGGAGAAAAGGGAATCCTTGTCCTTCGTTGGTAGGAATGCAGACTGGTGTAACCACTGTGGAAAACAGCATGGAGACACCTCAAAAAAATTAAAAATGGAACTATCTTATGTTCCAGTGAATCTACTTCTGGGAATATAACAAAAGAAGCCCAAAACACTGATTTAAAAAAATATACACACCCCTATGTCCATTGCAGCATTATTTACTAGTACAATAGCTAAGATCTGGAAACACCCAAATGTCTACCACTAGATAACTGGATAAAAAAAGCTGTGGTACATTTACACATATTACCAAACTATAAAAAAAAAAAAAAAAAAGAAGAAGAAGAAGAAGAAAATTTTATCCTTTATGACAACATGAGTGGACCTGGAAAGCATTATGCTAAGTGAAATACCAGTCAGAGAAAGGCAAGTACCATATGATTTCACTTATATGTGCAAACTAATGAACAAAATAAACAAACAAACAAAATAGAAACAGACTGCCGAAATCGGTTTGGCTCGGTGGATAGAGTGTCGACCCGCGGACTGAAAGGTCCTAGGTTCGATTCCGGTCAAGGACATGTACCTTGGTTGCGGGCACTTCCCCAGTGGGGGGGTGTAGGAGGCAGCTGATCAATGTTTCTCTCTCATCGATGTTTCTAGCTTTCTATCCCTCTCCCTTACTCTCTGTAAAAAATCTATAAAATGTACTTAAAAAAAATAAATAAAACAGACTTTAGAAAACAGACTGATAGCTATTAGAGGGCACTGGGGTTATGGAGCTGGGTGAAAAGGTGAAGGGATTAAGAAAAAAAAAAAAAAAAAAAACCTCATAGACACAGACAACAGTATGGTGATTACCAGAGGGAAAGGGAAGGTGGGGTAGAGGGATGTAGGAAAGGGTAAAGAGGAGGTAAATGGTGATGGAAGGAACCTTGATTTGGGTGGTTAACATAATACAATATACAGATGATTTAGTATAGAATTGTACACCCAAAACCTATATAATTTTATTAACCAATGTCACCCCAATAAAGTCAATTAAAAATAAATAAATAACTTGTGAATTCTGCAGAAGCCAAGAGAAATACTATAACCCATGACAACAAATAACGCTCATAACAACTGTTAAATGGATGACTATCCCCACATTAGCCCTATATAAGGAATAAACTTGGAGGGAACATAAGACGTGTTCAAGGTCACAAAGCTAGTAAGGTATACTTACTGAAGATCTAACACCTCTAAAGGTGCAATTTGAGAACTGAAATCTTAAATGACTTTACCTAGTATGTCTATTCTTGAAAGCATCAAGACTAGCAGCCCCTAAAAGAAATTGTTCCAACTAAGTAAAATTTGATGTTTGTGTGAATCATCAAAGAAGACCCCCAGTTTAAAGTGAAATGTATGTGCCCTAACCGGTTTGGCTCAGTGGATAGCATGTTGGCCTGAAGACACAAGGATCCCAGGTTTGATTCTGGTCAGGGGAATGTACCTTGGTTGTAGGCACATCCCCAGTAGGGGGTATGCAGGAGGCAGCTGATTGATGTTTCTCTCTCTCCTCCTTTCCTCTCTGTAAAAAAAAAAAAAAAAAAAAAAAGCAACAAAATATATTTTTAAAATAAATAAAATGTACACTCAGTTCGAAAGCATTCACTACTTATAAGCATAATAAATTGACCATAAAATATTAATGCCAATTTCACTATTGGTCCAACATAAATCATGTCCCACCGCTCTTCCCAGTTTACTACCTGGACAACTCTTTTGATCAATCTAGTCACACAAGAAACTTTGCTCTTTCTGTGACATTATGAATTCCTCCCCTGGAAAAGGAATAATTTTACAAAAGTACACAGGGACCACAGATGCACCCTTGCCAAAACTGGAGGAGGTGAGGCATGAGGTCAGAGGACCAAAACGGACAACCTTCACTTCCCATAACAGGCACAACAAACAGAAAACAGCAAGAAAGTGATCTTAGTTCTGGGTCATTTATATGTCTACCCTTCTGAAGTATTAAAATGGATGCATACACACCCACTAGTTATACTGGATTATAAATTTATACTGGATTATAAATAAAGATCATAATTCAACATAGTTTGTACCAACCCATTTCACATCACTTTGTATTTTTGAGAGAAGACAGTAACTGCCACAAACTCAGAAATGAACATAACATTTCCCTTTTTGCAGAGTATAGTAAGACTTTTCAATAAGATCGCACAATGACTTCCATGAGCAAAATAAAAGACACATACTATATTAGTAACGTGAAAGTTTCCTGACAACTGACCGCAATGGAGAAAACTACCAGTTATCTGTGAGGAGTGAGGTTGCATAACAAGACAGTCTTAAGGGACTTGCTTCTGTTCCCTAAAAAGAGGACCACTGAAAGGAACGAGTAGGAATCCAGTCCCTTCAGCCGCTTTTCCTCCCATGTCATAGCACAGCCCCGTTGGGCTGCAGCCCAAGACAATGGTACCAAACCCCTTCTCTGCCACCCCTGGCAAGGTGCTTGCTGCCTTGGGAGGGCGCCAGGTGACACCCAACAGAGTGTCCCTGGATCCTGCGGCAGTCATGTTTAAGGCCTTCCCATTAAAGATGGGGAAAGGGCCCAACCAGTGTGGCTCAGATGATTGAGCATCAACCCATGCACCAGAAGGTCACTGGTTCCATTCCAGGTCAGGACACATGCTTGGCTGCAGCTCAATCCCCAGAGGGGGCTGTTGCAGGAGGCAGCCAATTGATGTTGAAGTTTCTCTCTCATCAATGTTTCAATGTTTCTCTCTGTCTCTCTCCCTCTCCCTTCCTCTATCTCTAAAAAAAATCAACAAAAATAAAAAAATAAAAAAGAAGGGGAAAGGGACAGTATACTTCCCACCAACTCAGAAGATATTTAAGCACCATAATAAAGAGGGGGAAATGTTTCAGATATGCTGAAGGGAGTCCTAAAAAGGACAAATGTTCAGGTGAATAACATGGCTGATCCTCAACCAGACCCAACAGTGACAAGCAATGACCAAACCCTGGTAACTTCTAAGAATTCTTATCAGGTCCCGGATCTGAGAGCTGGCTTCCCTAAGGGCCATCAGGGATGGACAGGGCTGGAACCTAAGTGCTGAGGCCACACTTTCCCATCAGAGCCGGTGAAACTCTGAGCCTTACCACCTGCGAGCCAGGTGAGCAGCAAGCACTAGGGACAAATCAGGAGCCTGGGGCAAGTCGCATCAGGGGCTACGTTTTGGGGGTTTTACCTGTGAAACTAGGTCAACCACGCCATTCGTGTTTTCAAATAACGCTTGGCCCTCTCCGGCACTAACTAAGCCACTTAACATTCATTCATTAAGTAAGTGGAGCTGGCTTCATGCGATGGTATCTGGTGGATTAAGAAAAAAAAAAAAAAAAGAAAAAAAAAAGTGGAGAAACGCATGCCTCCTGAGAACACCCCAGTGATTTAACCTACAAGAAAAAAGCAGTTTACTTTTGTTTGATTACAAGTATGGTTTCCTTCCAGGGCACACGGCCCATCAGAAAGGTGTCCCGGAGCCCTTCCGTCCCGTTCTCGCTGTTGCTGGGATGTGCGGTGCCTGGTCCGGGGAAAGCGGTCCAGGGACTTGGGTGGCACCGAGTGCCAAGGTCCGGATTCCCCTCCCGGAAGCCTGAGCTCCGTCCATCCACCGCGTGTCCCCACCTGGCCCCGAGTTCCAGAGAGCGGGGACGGGGCCCCGAGTTCCACATCCCGGCGGCACGGGCACCTGCTCACACCCCGAGTTCGGTGCCCGGCCCCGCACTGAGGACGGTCCCCAGCCCCGCTCCGCACGGAGCCGCCGCCGCCGCGTCCCTCAAGTTGCCAACTCCCGAGGCGAACGGAATCGCGGCCTGCCCCGGGTCCCGGGGAGCTGCTGGATGGAACCCCGCAATCCACACGGCCCGGGGAGCGAACTCACCCTGCAGCACCCCCGGAGGACAGCCCCACCCCCGCCAGGGCCCCGCCGGCCCCGGCCCCGGCCCCGGCCCCGAGCCCAGGGGTCCCGGAGCCTCCGCGCAGGCCCGCCGCCCCAGGCCTCGCCGAGCCCGGCCTCTCCCGGCGGCTGCGCCCCACAAAGGCGGCGGCCGGCCCGGCGCGCGGCGGCCCCGGAGGCCGAGGGTCGGGCGGCGGCGGCGGCGGAAGCAGGCCTCGGCCCTCCCGCGGCTCCGGGACGCCGCTCCCCGCCCGCCGCCGGCCCGCCGAGGAGGCGCTGGGCCTCGCGCCGCCGGCACCCCGGCCCCGGCCGCCTCCCCGGCCCCGGCCCGGCCCCGCCGCCGCCGGAGGCAGCGTCCCGAGGCCACGGCCGGGCCCCGAGGAGGCAGCGCGCACACCGCCCGCCCGACCCCCGCAGACGCTCACCGGAGGCGGCCGCTCCGCTTCCTCGCCCAGCGCCGGCGCGACTGCCCCGCGGCCCTCCTCCCCCGGCTCCTCCTCCCGCCGCCGTCCTCCTTCTCTTCCTCCGCCCCCTCCCCTCCTCCTCCTCCCGGTCCTCCTCCTCCCGGCGGCCGCCCGCGCCCACTCCTCGGCCCGCGGCGTCCGGCGCGGGGGGCGGGGGCGCGCGGGGCGGGGCGGGGCCAGCAGGGGCTGGGGGGGCGCGGGGGCGGGACTCGCGGGAGGAGGGGACGAAGACGGGGACACGCGGGGACCAGGGAGGCCGGGAGCCGTCCCGCCTTTAGTGGGGTCCGAGCCTTGGCTGCCCCAGGCTCCCCCTGGAGGCAGCTCCCTTTCTGCTCCCCGAAATCCGCATCCCGAACGGTCCTCTCCGCCCCCGGCGCCTCTGGTTCGCTCACCTGGCGCGGGGACCCAGCCTGTCCGCGCGGGGAATGGGAGACCCGGGACCGCGGGGCCGCCGTGGGGAAGCCCTGGCCACGCCTCCTCTGCCTGAATCGTGAAATGTGCCTCCTCAGAGAGAACTTAGTCCTTGTTTCAAGCCATCTATATTTCAATACGTTT